GCCCCCCTCGTTCGCCTTGCATGCATGACTAGTTCCCGGATTCAGATCCGATTCTGCCATAATGGTAATGACAGCTTCTCTCTCAATCACTATCTGTCTCCGCCCTCTTTTTTTCTCTCTCGCTGTCTTCGTTTTTTTCCGAAACTAACTTTTCTTCGATCGCGTGCCAATTCTCTCACTTTCTCTCTCTCTCTCTCTTTCTGTCTCTCTTGCTCTCGCTCTCTTTCTCTCTTTTTTACTCCCCTTTCTCTCTCAACGTGTTAGCTGTGTTATTGTCGACGAGACAGATTGACCGGTCCGATCGGCCGCAATCGAGCCGCGCGTCTTCGCCGCATTCACGCGCGTTCTCACGTTTGCCGGACGCTTCTCGTTCTCGGACCGCCGTGAAATTGGATCCGCCCGGTGGTGCGGCGACGGCAGGAGCATTCCCACTCGTTTCACGAACGACGAGATCCCGTGCTGGCGCCGCTCAGGCACATCGGGGAGACCACGGGGGTCGCCTCCCTCCCTCCCCCCTGCTCCGCCGACAATTCCGCCCATGTCACACGCGACATACCCACATTAAGCGTACACTCGTACACAGCCACGTACACAACCACATCCACAAGTCTCCCCTGAGTAGCGACTTACGCTTAACCAGTCACACGACCAGTCTATCTCATACAGAGGGACGGTAATACCCTAAACCCTGGGCAATCAACGTTCCCGGTGCTCGTATCCCGCTCGAGTGCCGGGCGACCTGCAATGTCGATCATCGCGATCAACATTAATCCGATATAACTTTTAGGTTTTCAAAGAGCTCTGCGATGACGAGGGAGCGCAAGGTAAATTGTCCAATGAGCGAGCTTATTTTCTATTTTTTTTCCAGCCTTGCATACTTTGGGCGTACCAAGTGTACTTATTTGTAATTGAGTATACATATTGTGATTAATGCCGTGCTCGAATTCGTACGTGGACCGACGCGGTATCAGCTGCTTTTTTGTCTTGTTCTATATTATTATCACATAACCGTATCGCAACAAATTGGAACAAAATTAAGGGAAAATTTTATTTATCGAAATTTCCACGCAATGCTATTAAATTCATTTTCGCGATTGATAATAGTACCGAAACACTTTTTCGGGTGATGTATTCGCATACGTAATACACGCGATTCATTCTGCCTGCGCGTGCGTGCACATACGAATTCCGCAACAATTGTGTTACTAAAAAATTGCGTCGTGAACGCCAGCAGTTCGCGATTTTTCCCCGTGTATATACGATGTCTATAGTTGATTTATTCGTAACTTTTCACAAACCCGTGTCCGGGTCAATCGCTGGATTTTTGCAGATGTGGGGATGATGATGATGCAGACAGGGATGGTGAAGGGCAACACTGCCTACAGCAGTTACCTCGACGGTACGCCTGTTTCCGGCCTCCTTTTCCATCCTTTGCGTATCCCGTATATACATATACATATCAACCTGTCGTAGATCCTGCGAGATTTTGTCAGCGCAAACAAACACATTCGCAAATCGATTATTTTTAATCAATAGTGAAAAGATCACGTGAAAAATTTTTATTGACAATATATTCTCGATTCGCGTTTGTTATTCTGACAAGACGCATTCTGCCGGACTATTTTCTACATTCGTGTTCAAAAATTGTGATTATGCATTGACATATATAACGATTTATCCGCAATATTATAAGAAATTACGAAATTACGGCAGAAGCCAGGTTGTTTGATATGTAACGAGGTAAGATGGTGTAAGTGATACTGAACATACAATGGCCGGACCGGCGGATTACTCGTTTCACTTACCACGTGCACTTACTCCACAGTACCTGTATTCAATATACTGTCCCACTTGGATACGTTCGATTCGTACTGTTTATCTGTTGGGCTTTCGCTAGAGCTGATGGCATTAACATGAGCGAGTTAACGAGCATCGTCCTCTAATACAGCAGCATACAGTTATGTTTACGTAGCACTAACATTGGCCGCTTCTTCCTCTTCGACACATGGGCCGAGGCCGAGTAACAAGCACGCCGGTTGGATAAGCGGACGGTCATACGTCACAAATCGATTAACTATTGCGTAACGTTTAGTGTCGTTCATCACAAGTACAATGGTCGCTTCCGCGCAGAAATGCATTCTTGCACGTTGCCGGGCCGTATATTATGTGTCTTCACGTTAAATGGCTGCCACCTAACACCAATCGACGAGTTTGCTCAGATTTCAGACTTGCTAACAATTATTGTTCTCAATTATTATTTCAGTGTGCTTACGTGGACTTTAATTAATAATTAAAATTTGTTTGTCAGTTTCAAATTATCGCACATGTAACGTTCGCCCTTCTTTTCCCAAACACACACTTCGATTACTGCAACGATCGTGACAATTTGAAACTGACATACCTTCTTTATATAAGGTTACCCAATATCAATATATTTTACGTACATGCCACTTTTTCTGTATTTGCAGTATAAGTTGAACGCGATTAATATTATTAGTTTGGGTCGCCTTGTATATATTCATATTATGTAAAAGTATGCATTGTTCTTTTCTGCACAGATTGAACGTTTTTCGTGAAAGTTGCTCTGTTAACAATTTTCTGTAAAACTACGTGTTTATAAATTTTTGGAATTTAATGAGCAAATATTAATATTCTTAATTAATAATATTGATTTCTGAAAAACTTTCTCGAAAAACGTCTTTTTACATTGCCCTATTTGCGCAGTAAGTTGTATAATTAATTGTTATGGAGTTAAGCTACTGTAGAAAAATTGTTGTGTTACTTTGATCTGATTCAATATGTTAATTGCAATATTGATCACAAAAGTAGATTATTACAGATATCTATCTTAAAAGTTTGATGCCAATGTTGGAATATGCATTTGTGAATATTTTTGCATTTAGCCACAGGAATATATATTTAGAATTCTTCACACACATATATTATATTTTATACATTTTTAACTACATTTTTAACATACTTTTACTTAAGAAACGAGAGTTTGGAATATTATTATGTATAGTGTTTTTATCACTTTCTTACTTTTAACTGCAAAATGTTTTAATAGCTAGGAGAAATCTAGGAAAACGACAGTGCATTGTTAAAATGTTGTATATTGATCTGCTCGTGCACGTGGAATTCCGTTTCCGTGATATTTCAATGTCGCTAAGTGCGGGTGATTAATTGAACTCAGCACGCAATCAGAAAAAGCACCAAGACGTAAGCTTATCATGAGCTTATATACAGCTTACAGGGACGATGATAATCGATGCCCAGGGTTTATCGAACACATCGGCTCTAAAAATACCTCTCATTTCCCCCTCACATATCGAGCATATTTGACACCAACTCACCAACATCACAACAATAACGTCGACACTCTGCAACCGATATTGATTTTTGAGAGAACGTTTTTTCGAACGAGGTATTCCTGAATACCTGAGGTTTAACAGCACAGCGCAGATATATGATCTCTATGTGTTGCGATCCTCACAGTAGGCCGAAGTAAATTATGCAATGGTTGTAACACCAGTGTTAATAATAAACTCTCTCCATCGAAGGTCACGTTAGAGTAAGCCGATATTTTCGCAAACGCGGGATGTATTTGTGATTTAGTAAATCAGCGACGCTCGACCTTATCGAATTTTTCTTTCGAAAATTCTTTCCATACTCCAATAATGACAGTGAATATTATTCATAGTTATAGTACATAAATCAACTTTAGAAGTTCAGTTATTGAAATATTGATTACCCAATGAGAAGGCAAATTAAATCAAGAAGGTGAATCGAAGAATAGAGATAATATAAAAATTGATAATTCCCCGAGATCCTGAGTTAAGTCGCACTAAATACTAAACGTGACATATCGATCGGGACCACGGATTTAGACCCCCACACCCGTTGAGACCCCCGCATCTAGGTTGACATTGTTTTGGTGTGACAACTAACAGCTCTGGTTCTCCTCCCTTCGGGCAGTGGCCACATTCCGGAAAGGCGTGCGAGCTGTTCAGATGGTTGGAAGAGCAAGTACGTATCCCCCGTGTGTAGACTGTGTACCAAGTGTCATTTTTTATCTTACTCCCAATACGAAGATTTGCGAAGTAAATTCATCGAACGGGGCGTGTTCATAAACAAAAAAGAAAAAAAATAGAAAGACATAATATTCGAATAGTGGCACGGCCTTTCATTCGAAAGAACATTATTATTTTTGCTAACAAAACTATAACTGTGTAAGAAATAATGAGTAAAGGCATGAAAGATTTGCCATTTTTTATACAACATGTGCAAAGTGTATGCATTCTGACAGATAGATGCAAAATTTATCAAAATATTTGATAAACTAGTAAAAATTTATAGTACAAAATAGTTATTACAGTACTCTAATTACAGTACAATTTGACAATCAAGAACTGTTTTAATCAATTAAAAACTATTTAAAAATATTATCAAGTGTTTTAATATCCTAATTATATGAATATTCTTTACCAATTGACTTCGACTCAAAGGCCGTGCCTATAATAGTTTCATATAATTCATATCGTTCATTTGACGAGTATATCTAGAAAGCAAACTTTGAATATAAAAACGTGAATCAAAGTCATTATATCTTCAAATAATTTAATAATAAGGCTTTGACGATGAGATGCGTAATATATTCGTGACTTTTAATCATATTTACACATTTCACAAAAATTTAATGATAAATTTCAATCATTCGCGTCATTTATCTTTTTTCAAAATTTATGTTTTTTTTCGTCAAGGCCGATAAATTCTGCGCGATTGTAAGCGAAAAATTACCGAACAAAAATTTAGTATTCACATCATCAACAAGACTAGCACAACGCACAAACATGATATAGAGATTTTTATTGTTAATGCAGATGTTCAGTTGATTCTTATTTAGTCACTATTTTCCGTGATAAATTTAATGAAAAAATTAATGTCGTTGTGCTAATCTGCTAAATTCATTCGAATTGATAAGTGGCTCCAGCGTAGAACATCGTTAGTGTTTGAGTCCCTATTGGTGTGGTGTTCTTAACTATTTTGCAACCGAGATTACACTACTATCAATGTCGTTTTGAATGTAGTTTTCCTGAGAGTTTGTCAGTGTTACTCAATGGTTATTGTTGTTGAGTGAATTATGAAATTAACTTAATTGAGAATCGGCGTGATGTGACTGCCTTGAGTCTTAAACTACCTCCAATTAACCTTGCATCGGTGTTAAATATCTAATAACTCGACGTGTAATTAGAAATATTTTAGAACTAGCCTTTCATTACGTGGATTTTTACTCATCCCATGGCAGATTATTCGTAACAATTGTTGATACACCGAAAAATTCATAACGTCGTTGTAACCTAATATTTGTTTCGGTATCTTTCAAATATTTGTAATGTCAATGGCAAATGTTTCGCGACAACCATGAATGTTACCGCTGGGTATGGAGTACCTGTGTGTTACGAAAATTCGCGGAACACTCTTTGAACGTGGCTATATTGTGTTCATATCGCCAACGAAAGCTATTTGCTTTATTAAATTGTTCAAATAAACATTTTTTTTTACTAAATTGACAGAAATAACACACTTTTGCGTGCATCTCAACGAGTGTTCTGTGCCACAAAAAAAACTGTTGGCTATCGGAGCAGTTTCGCGAACAATTTGATTCGTCACCAGCGCCATGATCGATAAAGCGCTGGTGACTGTTCGTTACTCCGATTGTCATACTATTTTTTTTCCCCCTTTTCGGAAGCAGATCGGTGTTTCCCGGCTGAGCACCAGTCTTCATGATGTTAGATAGACGAGTACACGTGAGCGATGCGCGCGTAAGAGAAGTAACGAACATCAATTAACGAACAAATCCACACTTGTCATTTGCATCGACTCGCTCGAGCCACGCATACACACTCACCTGCGACTCATGCATACACGACGACACACGCACACCAGCAGTCGCATTAAATGTTAAAGTACACACACTAACACATACACACAAATATACAGATGCAATACACGAATTCACATAACGCGAAACAGCAAAAACACGCGCGCGCGCACGGACTCACAACCGAACACGAGATCCGCAAGCAAAACTCTTTAACTAACTCTCTGTATGTGTCTATCTGTCCGAACTATCTTCTCCTCGTCTCCTCCACTACCGCATAGGTGAAGACCTCTCGTACGCAAGTAAGTCCAGCCAAAGCGCGCGTGTATACTAACATTTATGCATTCCCTCCTGTATATATTGTGTTACGTACACCGGCCGCGGCCGCGTTAAATAAGGGAACGCAATTTAGAGCGCGACGCACGCACGCGTTGCAACGTTCGTAGAAGCGTAGGCTAACGAAATGCGGACGTTTATCAGTTTACAGAGCAACGCTGTACCACCGCAGGCGCTAATGCCGATCAAATGTATACCTTTTGCACGTTTACTCGAATATCCCGCTTAATCTATCCTTTATTTTCCAACTTGCTTGATCTTATAAGCAATCTGGTTGAATCGACAGATCAAGTTGCAAGAGATGAAACTTATTGCATTTGATCGCTCATGGAAAACATGTTCTCAAATATAGAGTACTGTAACAAATCGAGATATTTTAAAAATAATATATAATTCAATTAAAAAATATTACAGGATATTATCGGGAATATTAATTTCAGATTAATTGAAGAAAGATTAAAATCGGTTGGAGAATAGTTATATTGTCGATTAGATCATATATGAGGCGATATAGATGATATACTTATGTATTTAATAATAAAAAATTTTTATATAAAATTTTTGAAATTTGAAGCAATTCGGTTCGTTAATTACGTTACGCATTAAAAAATGTTTATCATAAAAATAATTCTTATTTCTGTCGATCGTAATATATTTCATTATATAATTTGATTTATCAATTAGACTTTTTCATTAGTTTTCTACAGTTTCCATTTACAACATCCTTCCAAGAAAGTCAAGAATTCTGCGATTTCACGTTTCATGAACGGAAACAGAGAATTGCACTTTGCGCAATTCTAGAAACGCTTCCTTGGAAGGAGTGTGTCAAAGGGAACTTAAACTTTCCGAGCGAAGACGGACGCGTCGCGACATCAATAGCTTTTAATTATCGTAGTATTATCTCCACGGGTCTCGAGTAAGTGCGTAAAGGGGAGTTTTACATGTGCAGTATATATTTCCACTAGCCTCACACCGTCGGTCTCGATGATGTCAGTTGCAAACAGACACGGGTCGTAATCGGCCCATTTCGTCTTGTCACGCAGACGGCGAGTTCACGTCAGAACCCGAAAAGAAATTTTCCTTACGCTTTCAGTAGAAGAGCTCTATGACCTTTCATGCACTCTTTCAATTCCTTCCAAGCTTTCGCAAAGTCTCTGTCGTTTTGCACGTCATAAATTCTCTTCTCCAGAGGATGCAAAGCGCACTGACAATGCCGAGTAAATATTCACTCTGTAAGGTCACATTACTGCATGCTTAGGACACGGTACGATGGCGTAAGTGGAGACGACGGATTGTTCTTGCTTTGTACTTTGATAAGAAATAAAGGTCGCTTCTCCCGCAAGCGTTTGACATCGTCACGCGTTCTCCGTTTGCGTCATCTTCGGCATGAATTTAGGAATGGTTTGAGCACACTGCACGTTTATGATCGTAGATCAATTTTAGTACCAATTTTTGTACAACATTCCTGCAACGTGGAGAGATGAGGTCGCTTCTAATGTCAAAATTACCATACAATCTTTTCTGATTGTAATCGGCCAATTGTTTCCACGTTGTCCGAAACTGTATTTTAATCGTTAGTTTCAAAATTATACACAATTTGTCTACAATTTTAGTGATTATAGATTAGTATTTAGTTAGTTAGTATTTTATTTTAGCAATATACTAAAAGGCCGTTTCAGCGTAAACTTTATACTTATTGTATATATCGAGTTAATATACATAAAATTATCTGAGTTTGATTAATGGATTATGTATAATTAAATTTCAATATTTATACACTTCTCGTTATTATATTAGAGTTTAGCGCAAGGTAAGCAATGATTATTTTCATTAGTTTCGCTTATAATTAATGAATACAATTAGTAAATAAATTATGATTTTCGAAATTGTCAGTATCGTCACGCGATGCTGAAACGGAACTTTGCTTTTAGAAGTTAAAGTGCAGATTTAGTACTGTCCAACAATAGAGTAGCGATTAGGCCTTAGGTATTTAGTTAGGGTAGCTAACATGTGTAGTGGTTTGTTACAGACGACCACCATCCTCCCCCCACATTCACTCCGCCAGAACTGCCCAAGATGGTTCACGTAAGAGGTACAGTTACACCTCAATCAAAAACCATGCTACAGTCTCGCAAGCTGCCCTTTCTAATTTCAATCGGCAATACGACACGAATACACTGACGAAAAGTCGCTTGATAATTAGCAGTCGGAATATGTGACGAGCTTATAAAGAATCGCTGCTCTCAACTGACATTGGAATTCGATCTTCCGCATATCGATACGCTTCGTCAAACACGCTTGAGTGAATGATTCTTAATACGTTTTGTTCGATTAAGCGACAATAATTACAATTTGATTTTTTTCTTTTACTAAACGCGATTTATGCTGTTAAAATGATGGAGCAAGTAGAGAATAGCTAAAAAGCAACAAAGTATCATAACTTTTTGTTCTAATTATAATTGTATGCGTGTCTCGTGCTACTTTCTTGTTACGTACTATTTTCTCCATTATTGACAGGTGCATGCAGCTGTCGTAATAGATCCGATAAACACGTTACCTGTTTACTTTTCCGTTATTTCATTTCTGTATAAGTGTAGTGTGCGTTTAAAGTTATATTAAATTATGTCATATTATTTTAATAGATAACGTGTTTTTCACATAAAATTGTATTCGTTATCGGTAATTATATCTTTATACCTTTTACAATTTATGAGAAACAAGAAACATATTTTTTGTTTTCTAAATTTATTAAGATAATAGATTGCACAAAACACAATTTTAGTATAGTTGCAATAGTATTTGATAGTTTTACAAAATTTTTAATTTTCTATCTTTTATTTGTTTTGTTGTATTATAGATCTATAAAATATTTAATATATTTTGCAACAGAGATCTTAATGAACAAAATGTAGTTATTAACTGATCCACTTGCTTAATGAATAATTATAGTTTTTAGTATTCTACTTGATACTTATTAAATGACGGATCATGCGTATCATTTTTAAAAACATTAATATTATTTTTACAAAAAAATCGGGTGAACAGGCAATTTTCTGTAAGTAAAGTAATTTTTTTATGAGGATATTGAATATAAAATAATATCAAAAGTCATTTAGCAAAATATTACAAATTGCGTAAGTATATCCGCGTGATTAAAATGCGCAGAATATTTATTGGTGCTCGTCTGCATAAGTAGTAAATCTCGTTTTTAATACGTACAAGCGTTTCTCACACTTTTACGTTCATTTATAAATTAAATGTAAATGCAAATATATTTTAGAATGTAGACACTAAAAAATTTCCTTTTTATTTAAAAAAATTTTTTTCTGTTCAACTTTGCTAATAAATTATTAAATGCAATTTTATTGAGTCAAAATGCTTTTTGACAAAACAAGTTTGAGAAACGTTATTTTCCAAGTATTTCTTGCTAAATTAATTGCTCCCTTTAACTTTGGTGTATCGTAAATAGAAATTTCTATCTTATACATTTAGAATGTCTGTTTTACAATTGAGCCGTTGATCTTGTAAAACGCGCTTTTCGGATTGATAGTATCTTGTTGCTTTTAAATTTGTGAAAATGGATTTATCGTTGTGGACAGCACGATAGATTAATCGCTCCTAATATGGAAGTTTTTAGTTTGATAAGACCTGTCAAATATCTACAATATCTGTACGTGTATTGCCTACTTCATAATTTCGTTTCATTATTGCAGAAAATGAATGTTCTCTCAAAGAACCACCGCGACAGGCGCCATATGTTATTTTCATAAAATGCCGCAATGGCTCATAATCATTTCTGAAGCAAATATTTCGTTTAATTACAAGACTTTCATAAATAAAATTTATCCTTCTGCATTTGACATTATAAAGAGAGTAATATTTAGAAGTAAAAATATTTGATTTTTGTTTCACAACAGAAAATGTTGAAATATTTTTTTTTCATAAAAATAATTTGTATTGCACACAGAAGAGCAATAGAATTTTAACAGAAATAAACTAACCCTTGAAAATAAAAAAATTGTAAAAAAGTTGAAAAGAATTTTAGTTTATGCAAAATCTTTGTAATTAAAAAGCTTCTGATTTGATTACTGTAATTAATTATTAACTTTGACACATGCTAAACGCATGTGTAGGGTGTAGTATGCGCGCCTGTAAGCATGGGGCTGTAGGCTCATCATCACGGAAATAATACGCGTTATAATGGGGGGGAGTTAGGTCACGATTGGTGTGACACTTTGATCGTTTTAATCATTGTTGCTTTGTCCACTTCCGATAGCAAATAGGACGCTCAGATTTGGAGTTAACATTGTTTTATCTATTTTAGGTGAGATCAGTCGTGAACGAGATGATCCGAATGGTAAGTCTCAGTTGCGAGCCGCATTATTTCAATTAACTCAATTCAATAATTAATCAATTAGGAATTCGTTAAATAGTCACTTGATATAATATGATTTTAATTGTAATATTTAAAAATTAATTATTGTACAAATGTTTACAGCAAAAACATTTTTTATGATTATCAGAAGTTTGCATTTTATAAACGAATTGTTTCCCTTACTCTTTTATCGTCAATATTGGAATAATGATGAATACATTTTTTTGCAGCCATGAGAAATCATCGAAACTCTGTTGGGATGACCATGATAAATTCTACGAAGCAAGTGAACAAGGTGAAACCGAACGTAAACCGCGCGGCGAATGACAGTTTGTCCAGTCCGAATCAGCCGTATAATCAGAGGTAATTGATTATCCCATGTGCATTTTGCAATTTCATGATTCAGAATATACATCCATACATCGTCACTTACATTGCAATCATATATAAAAGTACACATGTTCATCCAAAATCAGTGATCGAAATACTCGATAACACGCTTGTTTTGCACCCGACCAAAGCAACATGTGCGAATTTCACTACTGAGAATTACTACTAAGAAGACGCAGTGAGAAAAACAATCTTCCCAAAAACACCGTTTCGAATTTTCTTATTTTTCTTTTTTTTTTTGTATTCATGTTACTTCATAGCAAGACTTACAGTGCACTCGACATTCAATATCGACACACTATAAACAAGAAATCGCTTTTTTTCCGAAATTGCTTGAACGTAAATCTGTCCCTAAAGTACGCTCTTTCTCTATCCTGTGATACAACGTGCTCTTTTATACTTCAATTACAAGCTTACATATATTCTCCATAGCTGCACGATTAGTATTACACGGACTCTTTCATGCGTACTATGCTACAGGGATTATTCACGTTGCAATAGAATTGTGTCAAGTCTGTGTGAGGACTTTTTGCATATATAATATCTTGCACAATGCTAATTGACAAATTGGTAATATATTTTAAATAACCTAATTATGCGTAACGTTACAAAGTGAACACGCAAGTTTAAATATGCGCCTTTCTTATTTAATTAATTTCTTTTTTTGTAAATGCGTGTACCTTCTAGCTAAATAATATTAATCTATTAATAAGACAATGTCCTATTTTGATCGAGTGCACTACGATGATCTGCACATTAATCTATCAACTACCTCTGCATTCGTTTTTCTTCGATTAGCATGTTTCTAAAACTGTTAAATATACGACCCATGTAACATGCCGATTTAACGTGCCGATTCTCGGTAGAGATCTTCGATGCGATCCAGAATCATTCATCCACGATCAAATATAATTTTGATATTTTTATACGACAAAGAAATTATGACTTGATGCTGACATTTAAATATCCAGTGATTGAATTCTATAATTATTTGCTTCATTTTTATATCGAAAAATATTATTTTTTTCTTGTGAAAGGACATATAGCCTATTTACAATTAGACAGATTGTTCCTAATTAGCTTCAAAATTGGCTTCAAAATCTGTGTATTTATCGCATTGTTCAATTTCATAAAAAAAGATAAATGTAAAAATAGAAGATAAAAATACTCGGTACTTTCTGTTCTTTTATTCAATTTTTGATAAAGAGCGCCACAAACTTGAACGACAAACGATTCGCATAAATCACGGAAGAAATCGTTCGCGCGCACGAAAACGATAGCCACTCGTACCACTATGTTATCAGACGGTGCGGAGTAAAAGGCTACAGGTGGTCGTTGACATTTTCCGATGAACCTGTTACACGCCGTTAGATTAGTTTCTGCAGTTTCCACTATTACTCCAAGAGATCAAACGATTAATATTTTTTGCCAATATTGCCCACCGTACGTGGTTCGCATTTTTGCGAGAAATTTTTTCACTCAAAACAAGATTGACGTATTTTATAAACCGCAATATTTCCTTTCACAATTGACGGAAGTGATCGGAGGTTTCGATATAAATATTGGAGAATCACTCATCATTGTCATCATTAATGTCTTTCATCGTGGGTCAAATCAGAAAGAATTATCTGAGAGCAGGTCCAACGTTACGCAAACCTTCTGATTCCAGATCGCAAGAGGAGTCCGCATACGCTGGCTACCATCTCGCCTACGAAGTCAAAAAGCTCATGTACGCTTCTGTTGTTAACGCTACATTGTATTGTGATTATGTGATTACGCCATCCTACGACTTTAATAATGAACATGCTGCCTGCATGTCAAATGACGTTCAATTCTTAATAGTCATTTGCAATTAAAATGTCTTCAGTTCGAAAACGGATAAAGTTTTTTTTTTTTTTAAGAAAATTGCTAAGAATATTATTATTCAAAATTTAAATTTTAATCTTCATGATTATGTCAGTAGTATTTTATAAAATCATCAAAATTTTATAAAGAATACGATTCATAATCTTTTATACATTTAATTTTTTTGAAAAAAGTCATTTTTAACATTATTGGATGCATTATACGCTTCATTAATTAATTAACATTTTAATATATTTCTGTTATTATTTGTCAAAAAATTAACTAAATAATTTAATGCGCTGTTTGTCACATTAAGTCAATCATTCAATAATTAACATATTATATATGTTTAGTGATATTATAATAGTTAATATATCTTTATATATGTTTAGTCTATTAAATTAGAATGCATCAGGAATAGATCTCTCCACTTTTAATTTTATAAAGAGATAAATTATTCAAAATAACCAAACATAAAGCAGTACAAACAAGTATTTTCTATGATGTTAAATTTTTCATTCAGGATTACTTTTACATTTCTGAAGTGCATTGTGTAGCAATTACATAACGCACAACGCGACTACGAAAGTATAAAGTCCGTGGGTTTTACGACGACACTTAAATCTCAGAAAAACATGCATAAGTGATTTTAACAACGCTCATAAAATACGTATATGGAAATGTTTTTGACAGTGATTTATGTCTCGAAATGTGTGAAGAATTTTCGCGTATTGCAATCGAAAAGAAACATTACTTCGAATTAATCGTCAGCGAATTGTTATCGAATTGTTATCGAATTGTCAGCTACTTTTGTATAATCGCGACGATATTTAGATAATCATGTAATGTCAGTTCCGTTTCTGCCAGTTTACAATATCTGGTATAGAGAATAGAAATTGTTAATTTTATAGAGACAATTCTACTGAAACTTTACACAAGCATTGTATTTACATGCATGCAGTACAATACTTGTATATCTCTGAATGCTCTTTCTGTATCATTTTTTTAGTACTTACTACAATGAAATAATTTGTCATCCAACTCATGCGGTAGAATAACAACACCAGTAGCGTTAGACTACAAGAAATAATATGTGTATGAGATGCATGCAAAACTCTGGCTTTACAGGATTTATTTAATAAGAGAGGAATTCCGGATGCGTAAATCTTTTACGATTTTCTACTGAAATTTTTTCTGACAAATGTTAGATTGTTACACCGTTACTATTCTTTTATTATAATATAGCTGACGACGACGTTTCGTACTATGTAAATTCGTTCATATCAGCAAGTATGTTTTGTGTTAAATATCAAGCTCTCGTTATAGCAATGTGCAATTTTTTCAGGCCAACGAGCAGAGCCTCGGGTGGCACGAACGTCAACAACAACGGTGGTCTTCAGGTCGGGATCGCTGACGATCAAGCGAAAGATTTCGATTTCGAGAAGACCGAGATGAAGTACGATTCAACGGGGATGTTCCATTGGAGTCCCTCACGCAACCTCGAAGACTGCATATTGGATCGTAACCAGGCGGCGATGACAGTTCTTAACGGACATGTCGTTGTCTGCCTGTTCGCCGATCCCGACTCGCCCCTCATCGGACTGAGAAACCTTGTCATGCCATTACGAGCTTCCAATTTTCATTACCACGAGCTTAAACACGTAGTGATAGTTGGGTCGGTGGACTACATACGCCGCGAGTGGAAAATGCTGCAGAATCTACCGAAAATATCGGTTCTAAATGTGAGAAGCCGCTCTTATTTAGTCGAATTGTAGCGCATTCCGCACGATAAAAAGTCTTTCATTACACTCAATGTCTAAGAGCTATTATTTTTTTTAATCACAGAGTCTTTAACGAATTTGGAACCGATTAATTTTCAATAAAAATATAATTGAAGATTATTATCTCCAATTATAGGTTTGAACAATTCAAGCATAAACTAAATTTAAATTAAAAAGATGGAATAAATTAATCACAATAGCATTTGTTATATATGAAAATTTTAATTTGATGAATTATATCAATTTTAACTTTTTAATTTTACTTCTTATATCTTTAAAAGTTCAAAAAGATGCATAATAGATCAAAGACATTTTGTATATATCGTTCTATTTCAAAGTATTTTAAATATTATAAAGCATTGCTTTAAAATTTTTGTTAGCAAATATTATTCTAATCAGTCAAATGTTAGTAAATATTATAAAATTAGAACACGGAAACTTGAATAAAAGTCAAGACAGTGCAGATATTGAATTATGTTAATGCAAAATGAGAATAACTAAATGTGAAATACTTTTGCAATGACAATTTTTTATCTTTCTGCATTTTTTTTATCTTGTTTGAATGACTTTCGCAGGGTTCACCACTAAGTAGAGCCGATTTGCGTGCCGTTAACGTGAATCTGTGCGACATGTGTTGCATCCTGTCGGCAAAAGTGCCTAGCAACGATGACCCCACCCTCGCCGACAAGGAGGCCATCCTCGCATCCCTTAATATCAAGGCTATGACTTTCGACGATACAATTGGCGTGCTTAGCCAAGGTACGCTCCAAAACATCTTATTGTCATTCATTGTATAAAATGCAAAGTTTTATCTCTCCGTTAAAACAATATTATTGAGTGCAAATTACAGCAGATAATGAACAAGGTAATTTGACTGCAGTTGGCAGCCCGATCGTCTTGCAGCGGAGGGGATCCGTTTACGGAGCGAATGTGCCAATGATTACAGGTAATGGAAAAAGTTTTATCAAATCTCATAGTAATCTTTCATGTCGGACATTTCATCATGTTAAATATTTTAATTAGGATAAAAATGTATTTTTTTTATATGAACTGTTTTGTAGTATTACTAAACAGAATATTTATCGTAACAAATATCTTTAGACTCAACTGTCACGTTAATCTATCGAGGATAGTCGTGTTAATTTTTGCTAACGTATTCATCGCTATTTCAGAACTTGTAAATGACAGCAACGTGCAGTTCCTTGACCAGGACGACGACGATGACCCGGACACGGAACTCTACCTCACACAACCGTTTGCCTGCGGCACTGCCTTCGCAGTCAGCGTGTTAGATTCTCTTATGTCCACGGTCAGTTAAAAATTCACTTTCGAACTGTGCACTTATCGACAGCTACTTAACACACGATTTATTTACAACCCTTACTTCAACATTTTCGTTTCTCGAGATGCTTCACAAGCGTGATGCTAAAAAAAATTATTGTAACAGAAATTATAGACTTTTTCTATTTTTATAGACATATTTCAACCAAAACGCGCTGACTTTGATTCGGTCACTGATCACCGGTGGAGCCACGCCCGAGTTGGAACTAATCTTGGCTGAAGGAGCAGGTTTAAGGGGGGGTTACAGGTAAGATTTCGGAAATGTGCATCGTGCATCGTATTCGATATTTTTTTCAGATATAATAATCGGACAGATTTTGACACAGTACGTCATTTAATTTCACAGTACGGCGGACAGCCTGGCCAATAGAGATCGGTGTCGCGTTGGTCAGATCGCGTTGTACGACGGGCCATTGGCTCAGTATGGCGAGGGAGGCAAGTACGGTGACCTCTTTGTCGCAGCATTAAAGTCGTACGGAATGCTGTGCATTGGTCTGTACAGGTACAGGTACCGGACTTTTTTCCCTCTCTCGATGGTATTTATTGGATTACCCTACGCACATTCTACATTGTATATATATTATATATATATATTACCGTCTAAAACACAGCGAGTTCTCCGATTGCTGCCATTATTGTACCGCTGTTTATTATGTCTTACACACGTACTATGTGATATATATTATGATTTTTTGCCGCACACCTTTTGCACTTTGCGTTTTTGCATCATCAAACAAAAAAAGAAAGTAATGAAAGCGACAATTGTAAGTTGCCCTTCATCCAAAAAATACCTATCATTTTTTACTATTCTCTTTCTCTTTTCTTCTCTCTCTCTCTCTCTCTCTCTCTCTCTCTCTCTCTCTCTCTATCTCTATCTCTGTTTTTATGTCATCTTGTTCTTTATTTAGCATTTAGTTAACCGTCATACGTCATAATATTTTAGTTTAGCTTAGTTTATTTTAGTTTAGCTTAACTTAGCTCAACTTTGACTAGTTTAGTTAAATTTCGTATATAGTTTGTGTTTCGTTCATCTTATTATTTTCTCACTCACTAATATGCGCCTGAATTTTTTAGGTTTCGAGACACTAGCTCGTCGTGCGACGCCTCTTCCAAGCGATACGTGATCACAAATCCACCCGATGACTTCACATTATTACCTACGGATCAGGTATCATGTTTTAAAGTCACATTTAACAATTAGCAATTTTTACATTTCTCATAGATGCGAATTTTATTTCTCATAGATCATTTTTAAGAACGTCAATCCGTAATAATTAATTTAAGTCGTTTTATCGACATGTATTCTTTAAATTGCCAGGTTTTCGTGCTGATGCAGTTCGACCCGGGTCTTGAATACAGGCCGAGCAGAGGTGCCCGAGGCAAGGATGACTCCTCCTGATTGTTGCTGTGTAGCGCCCTCACCGACGGACCATATTCCTACATCTAATCATGCGTTAGATAGAAACCATCATGCCGTCCATCGTCCCTGCAACCGTTTTGCCTTCGCCGAAGAACACCATCGTCATATAACGTCGCGCGCATCATCAACGAGTTGTCGCGACTTACAAAATAGTTCACAAAACAGATCGCAGCCATGTCCGTTCCCTCGATAGGCCGGTACACACAGAGACGTGGTACAAGCGTAACATTTACTTGCCGATTCGACTCCTCGAAGATTTCATTTCGCTTCGTTCGCCGTGCGACGCGATTATTTTCATCAAACCATCGAATATCTCGAGGTTGATGCGCGAGTCGTAAGGATGAAGACTCGGAAGCCTAACACAAACGATAGTCGTACCGAAGCGGGAGAACGAGGAGAGGAGGAAATGCAAAATGCGAGGATGCAGGATAATATGCGAGAGGAAGAAGACGCAAAGGGACAATGGCAAGTGGCATGATGCTGTGCGGTCCGAGGGTAGCTACACGTCTCTTTTTTTTTTCTTTACTCAAGCTAAGAACAATCGTCTTCGCCCGAAGACGACGCCATAAGGACTGAATCTGACATTTCGCAAAGCGTAACACTGTGTTATCAAGCCCCCGCTGGCTCTCCGCAACCGGAAAGGAAGAAAGTGCACGGGGGGAGAGTATAGCTTAAAGTTTTTAGCACGTGGCTTTGCCTCGATGGGCGCTGTGAAATTGCAGTATCCTACGCGGTGAAAACGGAAGAACAATCACCGTTCATAGTAATTCGTTGCGGCACGTGTTAATGTATATAATACGTAACCCAGAAAAAATACACATATATATATACACAAACACACACATACACACACCGTCGTTCCACATGAACGAGCTGTGAAAAGGCAAAGAAACGACGGGAAGAGGTGAAGGAGGAAGAGAGAATTCTGGGAGTGCAGCGAAACTGGGCTCGTTCGTCAACGTTTCGTCTCTTCGAGAGGGCGATTCCCTCTCGTCGCGACCTCGCGTCGTCTTTCACGGACGGTGCCGGACTCGGCGCGAATCGAGTGCCGGGACAAACGTAGTGCCGGACAACTACGCGCAACCCTTACCTCGTGTGTCTTGTTTTATGGCTAATGAAACAAAAAAAAATATCTCAATCAAGCACTTTCTACAGATTCTATATATATATGTGTATATATAATGTATACATATATACATATAGATAATTATGATAAAAGAAAAATACCCTTTTCCACACAACTTTAAGTATAAATCGTCTATATATCGGTATATATACATTATAGGTATATATGCACATATATATATGTATAAATAGACATTCTCTCTTTTATATATTTTTGTGAAACTCACGTGTGTATATATACGAACGTACATATATAAAGAAAAAATATACATATGTGTAAGAGAAATACACAGATACACCCATACACAAATACTTAATCTTTTTTGACATACACACACACACTCTCTCTCTTTCTCTCTCATACATTCTCTTTATCTTTCTTTTCCCCGCCCTTCAACTGCGCGTACATGTATGTGTGCGCGTGCACACACGGACTCTTCGCTGGTATACAGAAAACACGCACATGTAATCACACACGTATGAGAACAGGCGTGTACGTAACGACGCACGCGCGCGCGCAGTCACACACAGTTGCAACCTACAATTTGACATTTACTTACGTACATATACGTATATACACATCTATATACACGCACATACACGCAAAGCCGAGAATTAAGATTGAAGGGGATGATTCGCGCGTGAGTGCGCGCGCGAGCGGACACATACGTGAGACTGTTCTTCAAAAAAGTGGCAAATAAAGTCGAAAGATACGAAGAAAGACTAGAAAAAAAACAAAAAAAAAAAAAAATAATCGTGACGATGACAAAAACGCGCGATACGTATCGATTACCGCGAGACACCGATTTCGCGCCCGATCTTCATACATCGTCAGCCCGGAAACCCACAACTGAGGATGCAAACAGTAAAAAAAATAAAAAAAATAAAAAAAAAGAGAGGAGGAGATCACGAAGCAGACAGATTAAAAACTAGCTGTGGTAGTCGCTGCCGTGTTTCGTATTACGCATACACCTTGTATAATCGTCGTCATCGTTGCCGCCGCCGCCGCCGCCGCCGCTACTGCTGCTGCTGCTGCTGCTGCTGCTGTTTGCAATATCCACGTGCACTGTTCACTGCCACTGCAGTTCGTGTTAATATCGTTGTACATAACTTTCTATGTATAGCTCGAGTGCGGCGAAAGAAAGAGCAAGGCGAGGCGCGCGAGTGGACACGCACCCTGCGAAGTACAAAGGACACGTAGCGTCGATCGCGCAAACAGGACTGAGCTGCACTGACAATCCGGATCAACCAGCTTCCTGTCAACGAGTTATCCTCCCTCTATAAAGCACTATGATAACATAGGTGGAGAAGGCAAACTTAACAACCTGAATAGTTAAATATATCGCGTAACCGCGCTCATGTAGCACAACACGAATAAAATAAATTTAATTAATCAGTTTCCTAAACCGGACGATGTCGGTGCAACTAGTCCGAAGGATAGCTCACGCAGAATCTTCAAATCTCGCGGTTCGCGAAATAATATCATGGAAATCTAACTTCTACTCCTAAGATAGTCTGAAAGCCGCATACGGCAAATATAGTTTTGCACTATTTATCGTATCACGTTTCTCTGCATTGAGATAGAAAGAAAATTTTTACTATTAATCAGTTTATCCGACAGAACATTTTTTGTTTGTATCATTCAAACTGCGGTGGCATACGCGGGTTAATCGAAATTTAAATGGTGCAAAACTTGTTTGCATGTGTATATATTTTCATTAGACTAAAAAGTTTTAAGTTGCAAAGTAAACGTTCTAATTTTTTATAGCAATTAAAACTCTATCACGTTACATTTTTTATACGATATGAACGTAATTCCATGGCACTTGCAATGTAACAAATGTCTTTCTTGATTTCCCGAAGTACTTTATTTGTAAAACAAGTAAGTATTTTTGTAATTAAAACAATCACTAAAGTGTTATACACGTGTGTTCTTGATACAGAGTTTATCTACAATCACATAGTGTTCAAAGTATTTTATATTTGTTTGAAAGCACTTGGAAAATCGGATTTGTGACACAATCGAATTTGTAGTGAAACGAAAGACGATTAGGCGATATATGAGATTATATTTCCGATGCGAACTGATTCAGTCGAGAACTTGCGCGCTTCGCCACGTTTCTCGCGCGCGGAACGGTACCCGTTTAAATGGACATTGTATTTCCGCAGCGATCGAATTCCGTGCGTCTTTTCTCGTCTTTTCTCTTCCTCCCAGCCGATTCTGAAAATCTGGAATCGAAATTTCTTATTCTCGTAAACTCGCGTGTTTCCTTACGCTGAATGGATTCACGCTGAACGGACGTGATAATCGGCGCTACGAAGCGACAAATTTACAAAAGAGAAAAACTCGCGAGAAATCTACGTGTAAAGCAAAAATCTCGATTGAAGAAACACGTATCTGATCGTATTACGTTATTCTTGAGAAACATCTGTGTGTTTGTTTCTTTCCTCTCTTTTTGTTGTCATCGAGTCTCTTAACGAACGAAATGTTTATCGACGAACCACGAGTTTGCGAGCGAGTCCTTCGCGTTTTGAGCGCCGGAGAAAGCTTCGAGAGAGCTTCGGCGACTCTGTCTCGCCTTGACGCGATTCTATACGAAAATAAAACAAATTCGTGCGTTAGATTTTGTGGAAGTCGTTTATCAAGCGACAAAAAAAAGAAATCTCGTCGGAGCCTTGTGTAGAGTTTTAGATGATCGGTCAAGATTCGCGTCGCGCGGGGCAAGCCAAATAAAAGAAATTTCAGCAGCTTCTATTGATTTATTTCCTGATGTTTGCACATTTTATCATATCTCTTTGACTTATATAAGAAAGATTGTGATGTTGATGCGAAAGATGATTTCCGTGCGATTACGATTGTGATATTGCTTAAAAGTAAGTCAATTGTGTATTCCATTCGGCGAATTTGCAGATTATGCGAAATACCTGCGGCTGGCCAATCGCGCGTCGTGAATCGCTCATGCACTCTCTTTAAGAATTAAATCGTGCACCGATTCAATCGATATCATCAACCGTAATCATGTTCTCGTTGCGTCGCGCGGAATAAATGTGACGCATTTGTGTGTATGTGGAACGTGTGTATCTTAACGAAGTACATACTTCGAAGTATATATATATATATAAATAAGCCCATAAAAAAATCGAACAAAGAACTCGAAGTAATTCGAGATATAAATATATATATATATATAAATATATATATATATATATGGAGATTTAAAAAAAATGTATAAAGAGAGGGAATTAAGGCGCGCTGAGCGTACGCCACCTTCAATGCCTCATTGACCTCATCTAATGCTTTTTTATCTGTACATTTACAATTTGTGTACCAATGAGGAACGTTGTTTAATCATGTTGTTGATGTTATTGTTAAAGAATGAGATTCAATATTGTACATAACTATATATTCATTATAATTGATGATATAAATAATTATATACATAAAAGAGTAAATCCCCCAGAGTCCCCTTATGCCTCGCGTTTCGATATGCGGATCCACGTCACTTTGTAATAAAAAGACAAGTACTTTACAAATCTGTGTTGAGCAGGATGAAACTGTCGGCATAAAATCGTTTCACCGTAACACCTATTTATGCCATAAAAAATGGCGTTAAGTGCCTCTATCGCCTCCGATAACGTTATTTTTCTTTAATATGCTGACAGGAGTATCCGTGCGCTCATGATTTATATTTGTCACATAATTTATAGCTACGTAGTCAAATAACTCACAATCAGTGCAAAGGCGTTGTAATTTAGAAGAAAAGATTATTTTCAGATTATTCCGACAAGTGCAATATATTGATTTATTATCACCGGAGAGAATTGCACGTTGAATTTTTATTCGTATGTTGTGCTAGTAAACATTTGATCGTTTAGATGTATTTATAGACAAAAGAACATTTTAATATACATTCTACATCACTATTTGTGGAGACTTTTTCCCTCAAGAGGATTAGAACTAAATCAGCAGGGGAAAAAAATGCTTGATTAACAAATATAAAATTTTTAGTATTCTACAAGATAATTTTTAGTTATGACAGTTACGAGCAGAGTTAAGTCTTTTGTTTTATTACAACTAGCTGCGTACTATTAAATGCATTCAACAGATTTCATATTTTTTGAAAACATTATTGAGTGCAAAACCTTAAAAAATTTCCTTCTTATTTTAAATTAACTCGCATTAAAATTAATATTTTACTAAAATTCTATTATATAAAAATATAATACATCAATATTTTGATACATTATATATAATGTTTAAAAACGATAAAAGAGAAATGCAAATAAGACAGGTAAGTACAAGATAAATTTTATTTATATCATTTTCATTAACAACAACGATTTATTGTTGGCATTCTACTTTATCATTAAACGTAATCAGTATATTTTTACGATACAATTATTTATCATAAAAATATCACAGTACTGATGATATCACGCGCAATCTAATACCATTTAAGAATATATGCGTAAATGTTTGTTTTAATCGATAAGACCGATTATTATCGTGTAAAAATAATCAAAATCCTCTTTAATTAACAAGAAATATTTTTTAAAAAAATTTCTATATTATTCTAAAATTTTTTATCTCACGACAGTATTTTTTAAACAAAGTATGGTATTTTATTTTGCTAATTTAATAATGTCGTGTTTATCACTATTTATATAATCATGTAATTCTAATAATCCATCTATCATGCGAGCACGATATTTCGGAATTCCATTAAATTGTTCGCAAATAAGCGGTGTCCTATCAACAAATGCGATACTCTCAAGGAGCTCTGGCTCTTTGGAAAAATATTTACCAACTGCATCAGATTCTAGCAGCAACATCGGTGTGTTCAAAACACCATGTATCATACACATGACTTGTAAATCTTGAATAGACTCGATAAATTCGTCCCAAGAGAAAACTTCTGATATATTTAAACCAGCTTCTTTCATTATAATCGCCATGGTATCGTGATAAATTTTGAAAAGCGTTTTGCTGTGACTCTCTCGTAGTTTTCGCGTGGTCGAAAATTGGAGAAAACATAATATGTCATGTGCTGGTGGATTGTACCTAAAAATAAAAATTAATACTGTTTTTTTTATATAAAAAATTAAATGCAATTCTCTGTATAATTTCATGAATCTTTTTATAAATTTCTATACAAATTCGCATATCTTTTATATTACAATAAAAATTATAAGATGCAAAAAAATATGATAGTTTAAGGTTGGAGACTTACCTCACATACAACTTTTATATGTTATTGAAATAGACTTTCTTAATTTTCTTAATTGCGTATTTTTTTAAATAGATGCATGCTTACCTTGCTAGTTGGAAATCGATCAGGCAGCATTCAACAGGTTGTCCATCGGCGTCGTATTTAAAAAATATATTGTTTGCCCATAAATCACCATGACATAACACATTTTTGTGCTTTACCGATGGTAACAGTTTAACCGTGTGATCTGCGCATAATCTTGCAATCTTCTCTTTGAAGCTACTGCGCTGATCGTCATTTAATTCGGGCAACAAATCGATCATCGAAACGATGCCTTTTACAGCGGCATCGAACATCGGCTTCGCTGAACCCTGCTGTGGCCAGAGAGTCTCTTGCAGGCAATAAGAAAATTTGTCGTGCAAAGTTTTCTTACACTGTTGTTCGAAGATAAGAGACTTCGCATGGAACTTGGCGAGTGTCTTCATCAGAATCTTGCAGTGTTCGAGATCGAAGGGTATGTGCTTGTTGGCCATCGTATAGCCGCTATGTACCATATCTTCGAGAACGATCAACTCGCCCTCAACTCCGAGAAAACATTCCGGGATGTATGTTTCGCCGTCACTATCCAACATCTCTGGAAATACCGTTGTATAAAGAGCCACTTCTTTCTTAAACGTACCGTACTCTTGAACAAACTTGTACATCGGACTGTTGACCGGCGGTAGTAACTTGATAAAGAAATTTATGCTCTTCGTTTCCAGCGGTGACTTCGGACAAGCCACGGTAGTTTTCAACGTAAAATATTGACCCACGAAACCGTTCACCTCTTCTATCGGCACAATCTTGTAGTTGATCAACGAGAAGTCGTTCATCGCATCTTGTCGCAGCTTCTTGCGAATTATTTCGAAGCACTGTTCGTCCTGGAGAACTTTCTGCGACTCGACTTCACACATTGTCGTCGTATACAAGCAAAAAAGTGGAAATGTTTTAAAAAGTAAAAAAATGTCTTCACTTCTTCTTCTTTTACGTAACCAGTTTTCTATTTTATTTTCAGGTATTTTCAAACACTGCTAGTTTCGATTATGAAGCTGATAGGTATCAGTGATAATTTGTAACCGCGAGCCACATACGTATGCAATTAAGAACTTTGATCATGTGCGTTCGAGCCTGCCGAGCGTTATAAGTCATCAAATCGTAGGAACCGTTATAAGACCGTGAGATCATTGTATAGAATCGTATAGGCATATATCGGTGTGCGGCAGCGAAGTGAGCGCCTAAACATTCGCGCAAGCGTACGAAAAAATAAGCAAAATCCTCAAGGCTGCGTTCCGATTTCTCACCCGAGTATACTCGCTGTATTGGAGTAAGAGAGATACAAAAGTGAAATAAAAGAGGAGAGGAAAGCACCTGGGTAGGGAATTTGAACGCAGCCCAAGAGGGGAACGACGATCTTATCATAAAAATCGAGAGATCATCGAAAACTACAGTCAATTTTTGTAAAACTTACAGTCAATTCGATCTAGTCTTAGAATCAATTTTCAGTCTTAGAGAATCGCACAGTCAATCAGACAGATAGCAGAAATCACTTGATTGTAAGAGGTGTTAACAGTAAAGTAAGATCGCAACCCACACAAAACATGACATCCAATGGTCCATATAATCTTCATAACTTCATACTACATCTATTTCTACGATGGATATTAGATAGATTTATATTAGAAATCCATATTATCTCCATGATAAATGACGTCTATAAATCTATCATAGATGTCTATTAGATATCTGTTATCGATGTTTGATAGAAGTATCAGTATCAATGGTAACGAATATTGTTAGGGCATCGTCGATGTCAAACGTTTCGGCTGATCATTCAGCCATCTTCAGTGCTAACGTTACAAATCTGTTTAGTAGAAAGATTGTGGTTTCAATTCGTCATTAATAAAATTATTTGGAAGTAAAGTCACAAATGTGATTGCGAGATAGTCTTGTTTATGTAGGTATTAACAGAATGTCACCATGTTCTCGATTGTCTCACATGGTGACATTTTGTTAACACCTACATAAACAAGACTATCTCGCAATCACATTTGTGACTTTTCCAAATAATTTTATTAATAACGAATTAAAACTATAATCCATCAAAGCTCTATGAAATATTTATGGAACATCTATGATTGCTCCATATGATATCTATGAATATAACTAATGGATGTCGAATGGAGATAAGTAACGCGGAACTGTGGATGTTTGGTAGACATCTATAGCAGATTACATGGACATCTAATAGAGGTTTCGAATCTCCACGATAGACATCTAGTGGATATCCATTAGAGATTTTTGTTCCGTGTGGGAATCAGTCACATTGTTTTACTTATTTACCACGACCAACATCTTTCACAAACTTTTCATATAAGATCCAACAGTCATAAATCATAAGAATCAGGGCCGCATTTATACTTTTGGAGGCCCCAGGCGCAACATCATTATGAGGCCTCAAAAGAACAAGTCTATTTCAATTAATCAAATTCATACGCATTTTTTTAAAGTGTTTATTGAAAATAAAAGTCGACATGCATTACATGATGCAAAAAGGCGAAATTTAATAAACAATTACCGCTTACGAATATTTCAGCGGCCTCTAGTTTTTATATTATGAATTTAATATTTTTAAAAGTAAGTATTTTATTTTGCAACCATAACTAGGCTGTTTTTTATATTGTCATTAGTGAGCAGTAAGATTTCAAAATGAGGCCCCAGCTTGCGCCTAATGCGCCTTATGGTAAATGCGGCCGTGATAAGAATAAACCTTATTATAAAAAATGTTGAAAATAATTAATGTCCTGATGTCCTATCAGTCCGATCATACGTTATAGTTTTACGATATATATGGAGATTTAAAAAAAATGTATAAAGAGAGGGAATTATGGCGCGTTGAGCGTACGCCACCTTCAATGCCTCATTGACCTCATCTAATGCTTTTTTATCTGTACATTTACAATTTGTGTACTAATGAGGAACGTTCATTATTCATGTTGTTGATATTATTGTTAAAGAATGAGATTCAATATTGTACATAACTATATATTCATTATTAACTTTCTGCGACTCGACTTCACACATTGTCGTCGTATACAAGCAAAAAAGTGGAAATGTTTTAAAAAGTAAAAAAATGTCTTCACTTCTTCTTCTTTTACGTAACCAGTTTTCTATTTTATTTTCAGGTATTTTCAAACACTGCTAGTTTCGATTATGAAGCTGATAGGTATCAGTGATAATTTGTAACCGCGGGCCACATACGTATGCAATCAAGAACTTTGATTATGTGCGTTCGGGCCTGCCGAGCGTTGTAAGTCATAAATCGTAAGAACCGTTATAAGACCGTCATTGTATAGAACCGTATGGGCATATGTCGGTGTGCGGCAGCAAAGTGAGCGCCTAAACATTCGCGCAAGCGTACGAAAAAATAAGCAAATTTTATGTAGGCTTAGTCAGGGACAAATTTCGGTTTCTGCCGCTCCTAGGCTGAATCAAATTTGCCGCCCCTTAATGACAGTGGAGCAAGGGGAAATTTTTTTATTAATTAAATAAGAAATAGATAATAAAATAAGAAACAGGTATCTTATATATAGGATTCTTTGAATAATAATAAATAATAAAAATAAACATTCTCTTTCGCGCGCGCGCGCGTTTCCAGTTTTTTTTCTTCAATTCTCAACCGATTTTGTTGACATTTTTTCTATGATATTTAATGTTACCCCGAGCATATAAAGTCAGAAATGTAAAGAACGTAAAAAAATTTTTAATATTAAAAAACTTAAAGAAAAAATTTCAGCAAAATTAGTTGAGAATTGGAGGAGAAAAACGAAAAATAAATTTCGCCGAAAACGCCGGAAAAACACTTTAGCACTTTATACACCCTTTAACAGTAATGATCACGAACATATTTATATTATGACTCTTTTGTATGAAAATCAGAATGTATTTCGAATATAAATCAAGTGTTAATAAATTTTTTTAATTCTAAAAAATTAAAAATTTAGCCGCCCCTAAAACTACCTGCCGCCCTAGGCTATAGCCTATCCAGCCTAATGGGAAATTCGCCCCTGGGCTTAGTGTCAACGGCTGAATTTTGTAAACAAAATGCGATAACCTTGCGGGGTATATTTATTTTCATTAATTTCATGTTACTTGCTTTTTCGAATTTTCGTTCACTAAAGATGGCCAAAATAAATAAGCCGAAACGTTTGAATTAGCTAATTGTTAACTTTTTTTACTGAGCAACTAACACCTAGCTCTGGGCTGACAAAGCTATATTTTTTAATATATAAATTATCTTATGTATGATGATCTTATCTAAATAAAGCGATTTGAACATTATCACTGCTATCAATTATTTTCCCTTGGGCGTTAATACAAGATAGACTTTTATACATAATAATCGATAAGATAAAAATAAATGAAAAAACGTATTGTGAATACATATTGAATATGACATTATGCACATGCATAGTGCACAATGTGCACTTTGCTTATTGCAACATCACATTCAATATGTATTCATAATACATATTTTTATTTACTTTTTATTTATTTTATCAATGACTATGTGTATATAAAAGCCTATCTTGCATTGACATCTAATAGAAACTTGATAACAGTAACAGTGTTCAAATCGAGACTCACATTGAGGCTGTTACAAAATATTCGAAGTTGTGTATATTCGAAGTTGTGTATTATTTTTAGTACAAAGTGATAAAGCAACATTTTCATGCTGAGATCTTTAGAAAAGTAACGTAATAAAATTGTTAATAAAGTAAACTCTACATTTTTATTTAATTTGTATTACTAACAATAGTGTATGATATTAGAGTATTAGTTATATCATTGGATTTAGGTATTAAAGAAAAAGTTTTTAATTTTATTGTAAAACATAGTTTACGCATGGCTAAAATTTCGTAAAAATCTATATTATATATAAATTATTTATATCTATTCGCGAAAAATGATATTTTTATTCGATTGTAAGATGTTTATTTGTTACAATAGCATACCTTTTTACGATTGTAACATATTATCCATTGTTATAATTACATAACAATTTCTTATAAATATATTTATTACAAGATAAATGATTTTAAATATAATTTTACTAAAAAAGCTGTGTTATAAAGAATATTGCAAAATTATAATAACACAATGCAACTTGTTAATATTAAAAAAAAAATTTTTTTTTTAATTATGTACAATTTTCATATTTAATTTACAAGGACAATGCATGAAATGTTAATTGCGAATGGGAATGTATTATATATTGTTGAAAAAGTCTCGTCGAGTAGAGTCCAGCTGTGCAATATTTCTTGAATGGCACTTCTGGAGGACGCTGTGTGTAATATACATTGCCGGCCAAAAGTTTGGATACACTTGCCTGTACACCATTCATTTTTATTTAGCAAGATTCCACCGCTTTCTAATAAACTTTTTTGTTTTTTATTAGTTAGTTAAATCTTAATTTATATGAAAAAATCAATTTGTCTGATTTTTATGAAAAGAATTATCGAAAATATCGCTAAAGTATAACTAGTGGTAGGCAAGTTCGGTGCTCGATAAGAGATATACATGCTTACTTCAAGATCAGTTAATGTTTTGATGTTTTATTTATGTTTTACGTAAGTCACAATGAGCATTTAAAATTGATTTTGTCAGTATTCTGTACGGTTAAAATGTGTCTACATCACTAGCAACTAAGAGTTCAAAGTTTTTTTAAGTGTTTATGCACTGATCTAAAAAAATGGGAAAAACAAAGAAATACCTATGGAAAAACGAGGTGCTAT